AAAAAAAAAAAAAAAAAAAAACTTATAACATAACTGATCGTATCTGTAAAATAGCTTCCTTATTACCCAATTTGGATATAAATCAAATCAAAAATAAGATTCGGATTTGTACACACCCAAGTTATATTGAGGAATTACTTCAAGCTTTATTTTTTCCCAAGTATTTTTAATCCATCCAAAACATACTTGGGTTTTTTTGTTAATGCGAAGACAATATTCCTATATTTCATCACGTACTCCATTGAATGACTGGTTATCATATTGTTCCCACAGACCTAAGATAAAAACGCCAGCAACCATGTAACTTAACCATAAACCGAATTTATGAAATTTAAATAATGCTTACCCATGCCTGTATATTTGGTGTGTCCTACACAAGTAGGAAAAAATGTGTATTTTATTAAAACATTATTATTAATTATGATTGCTAATCGTATATGTAATTTATCATATTGATGATGCCTGTAAACTGGCGTCTCTCATGTACAAAATGAGAATATACTATTATTATTATACATCAAATTGTGTAATTTATATAATAACTTATCCATGCCTGTACAACTGGTATGTTCCTGCATAAACAGGAAGAAATATATTATTTGTAGTTTTGGTCTTCAGTTTCCGGATGTTGAACTTGAATTACGGTGACCTGTATCCAGCTGCTCTCAAGGATTTCAGCTTCACCTTGAAGGTTCCCTGAACTAGATGATAGTGTGAGGCCACGCCTACTCCCCTTCTCGACTTTGTATCCAGCAGGCTAGCTGCTTCTCCACTTCCTTGAGCAGCATTGAGATGAAATCCACCTGGTTTGTGGTATATCCGTCAGGCGAAATCAATGTGGCTTTGTGTATGTGCTTGTGTTTGTACACACTCTCCGATCACCAGATGTTTGAAAGAGCAGAAGTCTGAGAATAATTCACCGTTCTCATTCATTTCACTGAGTGAGGGCCACTTGACCCATGCATCTCGATCCTGCATCACTTTCTCCCAGTTTGGCTTCCATTTATATTGCCCACGAGGATTTTGATGTCACCATTCGAGATATCGTGCACTACCGTTTGTAGTTGTCGGCAAACATTCTCCTTCTTCTCATGTTCCGCGTTGTTTGTAGGTGCATAGCATCGGATAATTAGGACCTTCTTTCTTTTTGACTTGAATCTTGTTGTCATCATCTTGGATGAGGAGGTTGGTTCCTACTGCATTAGGGCCCTTGACTGCCACTGGTTACATCGTCATAGCCACTCACTGCCTCTGTGTGCTCGAGATTGTCGTCTTGGTGACCGAGTATATCACTAACCTTCCAGTTGACAATCCTGACAATCGACATCCATTCCATCTGCTCTAGTAGATATCCAGTGCTTCGAAGCCATAACCCCGCATCTCTTTGGTTACCTGGTCAACCTTCTCAGTCTCGTAAATTGTACGGACATTCCATGGCCCTATTCTTATTCTTGCTTTCATGGAGAGAATATGCATTGACTGACCGGCTGACTTCCCTAAGACTGGCCTTCACCTGCCAACTGTGTCATTTCACCTCTTTGATCCGAGCGATGAATAAGATTTTTTTAAGTGTTGGTTTGTAGGGATGTCAGCTCATGACGAAATCCTGAAACCAACCAAATCCCTAAAAACCAACACTTAAATACCAATGAGATGCTCACTGGCGACTGGCCCTATTCAGGTAGGTAGTTACCTGGGTTCCAGTGAGAAGTCATGACCAGTAGGGTGCAGAGGGTCGGGTGTGAGGACAAATACTCGCCGAAGACATTGGCTAGCGGTTGCGCTATGTCGTGAATTGTCAGAAGTTAGAATTCAGGGACCATTGGATCGGATCCCAGTGGCTTAATGGTATACGACCTCGCCTTGTAACCGGAAGGTCATGGTTTCGAATCCCGGTGGGTAAGTATTGCTGAAGAGTCCAAAACTAGGACGAAACAGCTGCTCAGTACTCCCAGGTTTTCCAATGGTTCTCTAACTAATGTCGGCTCATGATGAAATCTTGAAATAAGATTTTTATTTGGATGTTTGTATTTTTATATATTTTCTGTATATTGAAGATTTGCCAGCAGTCTGGCAGGTTTGTGCTGTGTGGTTGCTGGAATCACGCCGAACCCTTGATCTTTACCTGAGCATGGGACCAACTGGAAAACTGCAAGCTAGTTTACTGAGTGAGATTTTTTCTTCGTGGTTGTACTACCCTTTTTCAAGTTAAAGGTTAAGTTCTGATTTATATTGTGTTGCGTGTGTGGTCTTCGTCATGGCTTATCACGGCTGTAAAATTTATATGGTTTTCTTGAAAATGTGTGTTTTTAATGCTATGTCATATTATTTTAGCTTTTTGTTCACGATGGACTGATTTTTATCAGTCTTCTTTGTAATTTAACCACCATGTTACTGGGCTCCGCATCATGGTTCACTCAGATTTGTTGTTATTAATAATTTGCTTTGTTCCGGAGACAGTACTAGTTGTGCGGTGTGGAATTTCCAGCACATATCTACAAAATTGCATCTGATTTCATCGCACATTTAAAAAGAGTATTACAAAAAATAAATATGAAAAACCTACAACAACAAAAACAACAAACACAAAAATAACAAAAAAGCAAAACAAATACATAGTAGAAAAGAAGATAAACATCAATAATGAAAAATATTTCAGTATTTGGTAGTGGAAGCTATGATATGTGCATGTTTGGTGAACGCAAACAGCCATAATCATACAAGAAGTTATGAAATGTAATTAAAAATATTTATAGCCAAGATGATCAGTTGATATGATTGAACTACACTAAACAATCATAGAATAAACATTTCAGGGTTTTTATTGTCAGCACTGATCAGTAGATATGGTGGTGGTCACTAAGGTGAATCACCCCATTCTGCAGGAACAGCAATATGCAATTTGACGGCTCAAGATATTTCTTATTCTTATGAGGGCTTAGATCTTTATCTTGAAAAAGATAATAATGAACGCCTTGACAGACCATGCTTCTACCTTTAAATATATACCATTCGCTCAGCCTATTGTTGAGATGCGACCACGCGGGATCTGCACAGATTTATGGGGCATCTTATAAATTAACTTGCTATCCATCGTCAGATCTTTAAATACCACTTCACAAAATCTTGTCTCACTTATTTTTCTAATAACGCCTTTACTTGATACTCATTATATTCCATTAAACCTAACATTTTATAGCTCTTTATGAATTTAATATATATTTCTTCCTGTTTATGCAGGAACCTACCAATTGTTCAGGCATGGATAAGTTATTATATAAATTACACAAAATTTGATGTATAATGGATTTACAGTCTGGTTGTTCTTTCTGACATCAAAGTCAGTCGGAACAGTCTGCTATAAAGTCTGTTTGTGTAGCACATAAAGAGATATAGAAATATTGTCTTCGCATTAACAAAAAACCCAGACATCAGATGAATGTAATACAAATATCTGGGAAAAATAAAGCTTGAAGTCAATTCTCTTATATAACTTTGTTGTGAACAGCACCCTTGGCTTAAAGATTATTGATGTATTATGTTGAGATCAGTGATATATTTATTCCATTTTTTCAGTAGTCTTGTCGTAGTTTTATAACAGGAAAGAAATTTGATCGTGGAGGCGAAAACAAGATAAGGTCATGTTGGGTTGTTTTACTGCATCAAATGGTGCCGAGGTCGACTCCAGAATTCTCCATTTGCTCCATTTGTGTCTGCATGGCGGACTGTATTCGTAAGTTGAGTAAAATGTTGAAAACTGTTTGAAAACCAGTTGCTTCTTCATTTCAGATCATGAATACTCATTTACAGCATGTTCGCCAGCGTCTTCAAATGGTAGAATTGGATCGTTCATGGAATTTGAGTGGTTATGAGATAGACGGTTTGGAATTAATCCTCATTTCAGTTTAGGTGCAGGGTTGTTCGACCTCGACCAAAAGATGAATAGGAGCAGCAAAATACCAGAAAGAGAAAGTATGTGAACATGAAAAGGACATTAATATATGATGCATTTATAAATGTTTATCTTAATTGTATATCATATTTAAGTAAACATTTTTCTATATTGTATTTGTGTTTTCACGTATTTATGCGAAGTCTTAGAGTTTATTTAATGTCATAATGTGTATTAATGAGTCTGAGCGCTTTTATGAATGGTTTCCCGTGCATGAAGCAAGCGCATATGTCATTTTTGTATAGTTTAAATAGGAGGGGTCCAATGACACTACCTTGTACTACACGAGAAGTGATAGGGTTAGGTTTTGAGTTTGCAGACCCGAGTTTACTATTTGGGACCTATTGTTAAGGAATGATTTAAGCCATCCTAATAATGGGTCACGTATTCCTAAGGAGTTCAGTTTATTTGTTAGCAGTAAATGGTCAACACGGTCAAATGCCTTAGAAATGTCAAAGTAGATGACAAGTACTAGTTGCCGTCTGTCACGACTGCTGGTTACAAAATTGAAGAAGTTTAGGTGACATGTTAAACATGATCTGGATTTCAGGAATCCATGTTGGTTCGGACTTATGATGTTGCAGCTAAGCATATGTTTGATTAAGTTATCTTTGACTAGTCTCTCCATGATTCTAGATGGTATAGGTGTGATATTGATTGGCCGGTAGTTACTGACTTCAGTTTTCGAGCCAGATTTGTTGTCAATCACGTCTCATAAACCGTTAATGCCCAGCTCTCGCTACGCTCGGGCCCACGCTGTTCTTAGATTTCTCAGAAACGCTTAGTTATAACGGACGCAAAAACCAAAACACCGATCTGCCGCTTGATATTTGTTTATTGTTACACCAACATATAAAAGGAATAAGTGAACTAAGGTCTGAAAACAAATATTACAATAATAAATCATTGTATTACTTCTGACGATGTTTCACTCTTCTTTCTGAACAGCGACCGATGAGACGATGACTGTCGTATTGATGCCTCCGCGAAAATTGGGGAAGTTGATTTTAAGCAAACAACCAAGAATTGATCGTTCAATCTTCAACTCCATTGACACTCCCCGGCAAAAAAGGGATCCAACCCTTTTTTCCTTCACGACCAATGCACGTTGACTTGGATGCCATTGCGAGAACCTGGGTCACACGGACAGAGCTGAAATGGAAAACAAACAGAAAAGCCAACACACCACAAGCATACCCACAGCACAATCTCACACATCGCTGACGACCTGCGCCTCCAGACAGAGACCTCCTCTTGACATCTTGCAACACAATCGCCACTTACTAGAATGACTCTTGCAGAATGCAAAGTGACCATGGCAGCACCTCACGATACTCTACGCACATCCTCTTATCTACTCACTACCAATTACCACTGAAATCGCTTGTCACTCATTCTGCCTCAGTTCTAGTAGCGGTGACGCATGCGAGCCTCAGTCGTTTACACTCTTTCTCCCCGGCGTGTCGGACCGCAGCTAACAATTATCTCCGTGTGCATTTCATTCTCAGCAATAGCCTAGCCTCCCCGGCGTATACGACCCATCTGCTGTCCTTAACATCAATCAATTCATTCACGGATGTAGAAGACTCGAAACAACTTCAGAAGTAATCACGACGAAAATTTTAACAAAATTACGCAATAACAACAAGGTACGAAAACAACAAGTAAACACAATGAATCCAAAAAACACCAATTGATATGACACACCACACATATATACAAACTGTACACAAAATCTCGCGGATCACATCTTGATGGAATTCCTTTGAAGAATCGCAGGACTTACACCAGTACGCCTACAAACCTTCACAGGTTGACGATTGTAATTTGTGGAATGTCCGGACACAAACAAGATTAACCAACAATTACATCAATTGGAACTCACACAATTATTTAACACAAACATATGTACAATCAACACATCAAATGTTGTGGATTCTGACACGACAAACTACCCTTGAAGAACTGTAGGACTTACAGCAGTACGCCTACATTCCTTCTCAGGTTGATGATACAAGTGGAAGTCGTCCGGACACAAACAGAATTACCAACAGCTAGATGACAGATGATATCAATTCAGTATATACAATATGAACATATGTACGAAATCACACACCAAGCACATTGGACTGCTCATTGATGCGCTACCCTTTGAAGAATTGTAGGACTTACAGCAGTACGCCTACAACCCTTCTCAGGTTGACGCTCTAGGTTGGAAAATCGTCGCAGAGTTCATTTGCTAACTTCCTTCTATCAGCTATATCCTCAAATCTGAACGGCAACACGCCCATGTCATTGTATCGTAGAATATAGATGACCAACAAACACACGACATATCTCATCAACCAAGTATAGAAACAGAGTAATTTACACCAAAGATAACATTCAAATAGTAACTTGAAACTAGAAATGCCTTTATTCGTGCAAGTCAATTTAACAATTACTCTCTCGTTTACACTTGGCTTATCCACACTAAACTGACCATTGATATTCGTCCTTTCAAACGAACTGATACTACCATAGTCATTGCACAAGATACTTGAGTTGATGGGCATCTGTTTCATTGTGGATGACAACACCAACGACGACTGAGTGACACAAGTTGATGAACTTAGCGGTGGATCAGAAGCTGTTGTTGCTCGCCTTTCAGAAATTTGTCTACCTGCAAGACCACCACCACTGCTGTCTTTCACTACTAGTTCGGGTTTAGCACTATCATCTGATGATAGGTGGGCTACACGCTGATCAATCACACTGACGGTCTCACAAGTATGCATGCCTTCTGCAACTGCATTTATTTCTACTTCACGTTCAAGTTGTACAGAACCTTTGTTCAACTTAGCAGTAGTAGGCATATCCCTCATCTCATCATGATCAACCAAAGACAAATGTGCACTATCATGATCATTACCACAAATATTCAATTTACCGTCAACTTCATCATTTTCAAACTCTTTAATAACAGAAGTAGACAATTTTGGTTCCTCCTCACAAATCATTAAAGGTTTTATATCTTCACTCTGACTAGTTATACTTTGTAAACTTGTGGAGTCAGAACTGCACTCTGAAGCAGTAACTCTATTCTGTGACACTCTATTCAACAACGGCTTACCAGTTGCAACTACAGACTTCTTCACAACACCGTTATCGTCACACAATTCGGAGTCAGGCCTGGAGTTTACATTTAGCTTATCACTGAACTTGCTCACCGGTTCACAGTTCACTTCTGTATGCACCTCTTGCAAACGTGTAAAACACAACCGTGTTTGTCTTGCATCTTGTAACTTATCTGTTGAGGATGTACTACGAAACCTGTTACACTCACTAGGTCTATATGCATTACTAGACATCATGGAGCCTTCTCGATATCCACCTCTCTGAGGCCTATTCGTCATCAATGATTGCATTTTACCCTCAGACTGCTCTATTCTAGGGGTGAGATTCAATAGACTGGCAAACTTGCTCATAGATTGATTGACACTATCTTTTACCAGTTTCAGGATATCATCAAATTTTGGCTCGATACCCTCATCCTCCATACGGGAGCTTATCTTCACCCACTTCCTTTGCAGTCGAGTAGGTAGACGTCTTGCTATTACTTCTAGTATAAAACTCGAGTTGAGGTCACTCATGCGATTCATCGAAATCATTCCATTCTTGTAAATTAGCAAATTATCTAAAAACTCAGTGAGTGCCTGGGAGTCATCCTGTAATTGACCACCATTACCCTTAACAGCCTCGAATAATTTCCCTACAATCATCGAAGGTCTTCCAAACCTTTGACGTAATATGCTCATAGCCTCATCGTAGCCCTCCTTTGGCTTCATAAACTTACAGCACTGTATAGCTCTTGCAGCATCTCCAGTGCAATATCTCATCAAATACATTAACTTCAATTCATCATTTAATAGAAAACTACTCAACATGATCTCAAACTCCTTTACAAATTGTAAATAATCAGCCGGGTTTCCATCAAAACACCGTGGTTCAAATTTAGGGAGTTTGATGTTCCTATTATCCCTGAACGGCGAAACAGTAACATCAACCATGTCATGCTTAACATCAGACACATCGTTACAATTAACAGACAAGTCACCATGACTTACTTTCCTGTTTGCATCCAAGACACTCTGTCCCTTCTTTGACCCAGGCATTGTTGAACTTGACCCAATTCCAAAATCGTTCCAGATATTGCTTGTTCAAAGAGGACTTGACCGGCACCAGGAAAGATGAACGGCGACTATCCAAACTTTCACCAACTGTTTGAATCCGCCAGATCTGTTTCCATCGTCAGAAACTGTCAATCACGTCTCATAAACCGTTAATGCCCAGCTCTCGCTACGCTCGGGCCCACGCTGTTCTTCGAAGATTTCAGAAACGCTTAGTTATAACGGACGCAAAAACCAAAACACCGATCTGCCGCTTGATATTTGTTTATTGTTACACCAACATATAAAAGGAATAAGTGAACTAAGGTCTGAAAACAAATATTACAATAATAAATCATTGTATTACTTCTGACGATGTTTCACTCTTCTTTCTGAACAGCGACCGATGAGACGATGACTGTCGTATTGATGCCTCCGCGAAAATTGGGGAAGTTGATTTTAAGCAAACAACCAAGAATTGATCGTTCAATCTTCAACTCCATTGACATTTGTGTTTAGGCATAATGAATGTAGTCTTCCATATGTCAGGGTAAGTTTGGGTTTCTAGGGACATTGTGAATATTTTAAGCAGTAGTAGAGGAATGTCAGGGCCACCATATTTATAGAAGTAAGATGATATACCGTCGGTACCGAAACCTTTTGAACTTTTGAGGGTTCTTATAGTTTGGTTAATGTCAGCGTAAGTGAATTGAACAGTGCTAATTTGGTTTGGTGTCAGTGGAGTTGGAGTTTGTGCCATTTTAGTAATAGGGTGTATATCGAGTAGCTGGACTGAGGGCTTAAGGTAGTTACCTGCAAACGTTTTGTTGAATAGTTCACATATGTCTGCAGAGTTAGTGCATAGCCTGCCTTTGTCTATGAGGAGAGAAATGCTGTGATTTTTGCGATTCATTCGCTTCCTTAAGATTTCTGTGAGTGCATACACTCTAGCAGGACTGGCTACTGCGATGCGTTCTTCCTTTCTCATACGGAAATCTTGAGCTTGTGTGATGGAGCTAAGGGTGTTAAGTATTAGACCTAGAGTGCCAAAGTCGTGGTGTTTGAAGTAACTTGTTGAGAGTTTCTTCAGTTTCGTACGATCCTTTGGTTTTATGAATGACTTTCTGTGTGGGGAAACCTTTAGTGTTTGGAGTGGAATGACAGCATCTAAGCATATGTTTGAGTTATGGTAGAAGATGGTTAGGGCTCTCGATAGGTCATCAGTAGTGAAGTATTCATCCCATTTGGAGGATCTTAGCATCGATTCAACTAAGGCCCAGTTTGCCTTACTATAGTTCCTATATATTACTTGTTGTGAAGTGGAGGTATGAGATGCATTGCTACTCAGCGGAATTGGCAGTGCACACATTACTGTTTTGTGGTCGCTCCCTGGAAACTCAGAACCTACTAGCGTTGAAAGGGGGCTTATATTGTGGCAGAAGATTAAGTCTAGTACGTTGTTACCTCTTGTGGGAGTAGTGACAGTTTGTTTCCAGCCAAGTATATCCAGTGTGTCTAAGAACTTATCAAATTTAGTTGGGCCTGTGGGTATATCCCAGTTGATTTCAGGTAAGTTAAAGTCCCCACATAGGATCTTATGATCGTATTGTAAGTCGGATAATTGCTCCAGAGTATTAATGAGTTGGGTCTCGTAATTACTAAAGGTGCCAGGTGCTCTGTAGGTGCATCCAATTAATGCTGTTACGTTATTTAAGTGTACATTAACCCATAGAGTCTCAGGCATGTTAAGTGTACTACTTTCTAGCTGTGATACAGTAAGTGCATTCAGAAAGTACATGAGACAACCCCCTCCCTTACCACCTTCCCTGTCACACCGAAAGTGTGTGTAGTTATCTAAGCTTATTTCTTCATCCAGGATGTTCGAATGACACCAAGATTCAGTGATGACAATTACAGGGGGTTTGTATATTACTGTGAGTGCTCTGAGCATCGGCAATTTATTTAGAACAGATCTAGCATTTATGAGGATTAGGTAAAGATGAGAGTTGAAGTAGCATTTGAAGTATTTAAGTTCGTTAGTCAGCCCCGAATATGGTTCAGCACCCAGTAGTTCTGCTGGACATGACGATCCTATGTTAAGAGGAGTTCCAGCATCATGCTCACCTATGTCTATCGAGTTGTTGTGTGCTGTTTTCGGTGGAGAATTAGGAGTTGGAGTACTGGATTTGCTATAGACTAAGGAACTTTTATTTTTAGTTAGGTTACAGAAGTGGGTAGGGTTCTTTATTTGGCCTATACTTGTGCAAGTGTCAAGTGTGTCCAATGGATACGGGTGCACTAGACCGTTCCTGTTTTCATGCAAGGAGGGAGCCAGCACTAGTGGTTTAGGAGTGTTAACATCCCTACCAGCTGTTTTTTCAACGCTGACAGGGACGCGGGGGATAAAAAATGATTGGATCCTTGTGATGACCATGGCTTATTATTCCACCTATTGTTTGATGCTAGTTGTGTCCTTGTGTGGGTTTCGTGTGTACTGCATTGTGGGTTAGTTCCCAGCAGACTTGTACCATATATCCGGTCGAAATTTGTTTGTGTGCCATACTCTGAAGACCCTGAGTTGTTGGTAGCCGAGTTCTGACTATTACCACT